TACCTCCTTCAAATTAAAACCCCTAAAAGTCAGTTATTACTCCAATGAGGAGCTGGGGAATTTACAGTACTGCCGAGAGAGAGGGCACTAGATTTGAAAGACAACTAGTATATGCACACAGGCAATGACATTAAAAAACCTCCCAGCAACAGTCATTCTCGAACAATGCTTTTCCATGACAGTATACGAGAAAATACAAGCCAAAAAAGACGGCATTTGAAGAGGTAAAGAAACCAAATAGTTGAATCGGAGGGATCAAGTAAAGACATATTTCCGATCTTGCATGTTACTAGACAGGCACAATTTATTCTGAGTCGTTTCGCCCTGTGGACGATCCCTACTGAAATTCCAACTATTGCAATGTTGTTTGTTCATTGTTTTTCTGGCAGCAAAGTCTTCATTCCAATACTCTAAACTAGATTAACAGCTATGAATTCCATTTGTGGAAGAGAGGAACCCTGCCTAAATACTTAAATAAGCTTCATGAGCCATGTAATTTCGTAACAGGGCTTTATTCTGACCTTGCAGCAGTATAAATTGAATTATGTCCAGAGCAACTAAACTTCATTGCATTTTTTCTGAATACAAACTAGAAAGGAATCAGTTTCACATTAGGTGTATTTGTTATTTAAAACAGAGCCGTGATGAGTTTCAGACAACTTACCACCTTTCACTAGGATACAGCACATGTAACCAGCACTGGTTTGTGTGACAGAAGGATTGGTCAGGTGCCTATGAATAATCCTTACGTGGTTGTCTTAACATGTATTTTCAGGAAGATCCTTCATATGGTAAGAAGTATGACAGATCTGATAAGTGAATTCTACAACTCTCAAATCCCCCTCACCCTATACCACCCTAGCAAGTCTTAACTATGACTAAAAGTTTTATCAGTTCCAATAATGGAACCCTAAACACCCATTTGATAACTTATCCATGGTGACATTCTGTGTGTATTCTGTAACTAAATGGTTAACATGTACTACTTCCCACTTTCAGGTTCAAATTCTTGCTGTTTTATCTGTTTACCAGTGCCCAGTCATTGTCCTTTCCTCCTTCAATGTCAAAGAAAAAATTACTATGCCAAAGAGCACAAGGGTCCGAAATACTGAAGCATCCTTCACTTGCTTAGCCGAATATTCAATTCTAATGCAACTAACGCTGTTTTCAGTTATCCAAGAAATTCTGCTGTTCTGTTTTTAGAACATAGAATCTTTCTTGATTTTTTAAACAGATCACTTGCCCTTAGTCTCTGTAAAAAGATAGATTCATTCTGGATAGTGTGAGCTAAAGCAATTCAGTCCCATTCAAATGCTTGAAGAGCAGAGAAAAATTATAATGAAAAAAATTTCTGGACTTTAACAGCAAAATGATTAGAAAAGTAAAAATTTTGGGGAAGCAATTTTTGCATCTGAGCTATCCCATTCTCAGTCTGCTGTGATTCATTGGGTGCAAACACTTGGAACATGAAACTTCAGCCTTTGTTTCAGCCTTTAATTTTTTTCAGTTAACTTTTTAATACACTTTTGACTGACGTACTAAGCAAGTACACTGTGAAGGTACCTAAGGCTAACTTGTCTGCCCAGTGTCAGATCCTGCCCTGTTCTCATGTTGACTCATACATATTTCTCATTGCAGATGCTTCCTCAGCTTCACTGTTTATTACTGATGGTGAAAAAGGGAGGCAAAATTATCTGCTGATGAATGAAATATACTTTTGAAGATGGTTATCAATTAACTGTTATTTCAATAAGGTCTTGCCTCTTTTGTGCACAGTAAATTTTTTCCACAGTAATGTTTACGTGCATGAAACAAGGTTTTATACTTGGTGCAATACCGGAGATGCTCACTAAATTCATCACAACTAGTGATTATAGGATTTATCTTTAAAATAGAGGAAGTTTCATGATGAGATTAGAGCTTCACTGAGAATGAAGAAAGCAGGATCAAATACTCAGTTCAGGAAATACCAAAGCTGTAGTTATCCATTTAACTTGGAATTTCTGTCTTTGTACACTATACCTCTGATATATGTTACCAGTTAAAACCATGAACTCTGAATTCAAAGTAGTAGAAACTTTATCACATGGTTCAATTCAAACTTCATATCATATGAAAAATAATGTAATACAATATTCATGTTCTTAACTTCTTTCTACCCCATCTAATGTGCACCTTTAAACATTTGCAAAGAATAAAAGATGCTCCTGAATACGTAAAGTTTCATTTTATCTCTGCAGTTCAAACTGCCAAGTTTTTAACCACTCTAAACATTAAGTATGATCAAACTTGCAGAAACACATCTTTCACAAAATTGCAAAACAAATAGAGAAACTCTTCTTTAACTTTTATCTAGGAGATAAAAATCTCTAGGGAAAAGCCCCAGGAGAAGCACGACAGCATTATAGAGCAGATGTGAATGCAGATGTCTTGTCTGCATTTCTTCAGAGACCAGGCTGTACTGCAGCTTGCTCCATACGCGGTTTCAGTGATGCTTAGAACACATTGAGTATCAACTGTCTTCTTGGAAGTACCTTGCACTGTGATTAGCCATCTCTCCTCTGTCCACACATCTGTGCAGTCAACTATCCTGATCTTTGGTTTTACAGAACAGAGAAATTGCATCTTTAACTAAACTGGAAGGTCTTTTGATTGTCTTGAGATTCCAAAGTAGCAAGTTTTCACTTCCCAACAGAAACATAATCTTAAAGGAACTGATGTCATCAACTGCTGTTACCTATATCCCTTAAGAACACAGAATCACCTAAAACATGTTGCATACAAGAAAGCAACAGTTAAGGATCAAAAAAAGAACAAACTGAAACTGCTAAAGTTTACCCAGCTCAATTAACTCACTGTTCCACAAAGTTCAGACAGGCTTCCAGGAGTGACCAACTATCAAACCGAAAAAATTCTAAGTGAAACGAAGGAGGGGGCCTATACTATCACAGGAGTGTCAATACCTACTGTCAAAATAAGTATCAGCAAAACTTTTTACACTTTACTTATCACAGACAGTATTGATTTGGAATTGTAGTTACACTCTACCCTGACTGACTCAAAGACGTTTTAAAACTGAAAGGTGAACACAATTTCAGTGAATTAAACACAAGATCTAATCTGCTTACCATGCTAATATTATTTTTACTGACACGTTAACTCTAGTTAGATGATATATTCTTCATTAAAAGAAAAACTTATCTATACCTATTGGATGAATTACTTCTAAGGTTATTTTTGCTAGTCTCCTGATGATTGCTCTGCTATATAGATTAATGTTCAACGTGTAATTTGCCTTATCCATGTTACTTTGTACTTCTCATACATTGAGCTACTTGGATAAAACTTGCCTAGTGGTCTGCTTGGTCCCCAATATAAATAATAATTGATTCACAGTCTCTCCCATTACACAGGTTGACTGTTAATGATTAAGCAATTTATGGCATGCAGTTTCACAAGCTATAGATGAGAAAAAGAAAACACTCAACTTAGCAAAATAGGGTAGAGAATTTTGGCCTGTTACTGAACTATTTAGGGTATTTGTCAGGAAATTGAGTTGTGTGTTAAATCTATTCAGCATTTCAAAAGCAGGACTAGGCAAGGGCCACATTTCCATGTCTCTGAATCTGATTTTTCAGCACAGTGGTTGTCTGACACATTTTATAAGAACTCATTGCAGGTACATGCTAGACAACCTTAGAGCACAGTTACTCCTTTCCACCATGTAGAGGATGTTTTAGTCCTCCTTTAGATAGAGTTTAATGGTACTTAAGTACAGACAATGCTTAGATGGAGATAGAGCTGTACGCACACAAACCAGTAATTCATTGACTCAAACACTGAGGACTTCAGACATTTTTAGGGCTTGAGCAGTTGTTTTGAATATTGCTGTCTTAGACATAGGTGGCTAAATTACCATCAAAGTCTTTCTTTGGGCTCATAATTGTTCAGTGGATCCGGACCTCAGTATCCTGATTAAGAGGCTTCCAGCAGTCAAAACTGCATTATGACATTGGGGGACTTTCGTATACACCAATGGACATGCCTTCTCCCTTCTGTCACTTCTGTATTCTGCACTCTATGATGCTTCTACCCTCTGTAACAAGGAGTACAGAAGGATTAGTTGAGGCACTTGCTAGCTAGCCATTCTTTTTCTCTGATCTTCACCATCTTTCCTTTTCCTGCCATCACCAGAGCAACAGCCAATGTGCATCTCCTAGTGTTAGAGAACAGTATCTGTTTTAAATGGCTTTCTAAGAATGGAAACCTATTAATTCTCTTTTATGTGCTTGTTCCTCTATAGGCCCTCTTGAGATGATTTTCTTTTGCTTATCAACTTCTTCACTGTAGGATATTGCAGGTGTCAGGCTTTCAAACTAACAGGAAAGAACTTGATATCCTCAAGTTTTTCTCCTATTAACTGGCATTTGTCAGTCAGAAGTTAGAAAACATTGTCTTTCTGGCAAGGAAAAAGAGCTCATAAAGCAGAGTCCTCAGTGTTTGCTTACCGATTGCAGTAAGATTTGTTCCAGTAGGCTAATTAACACATCTGCTCTAATAAATACACCCAGGAAGGAAGGAGCACAGGAACAAGATCAAGAAGCTGCAATTTCTAAGCATTTGGCCATTGTTACACATGGGGAATAGTGCCTGACCCTGCAATCAGTGGATTTCCTCTACTGAGGAAACATTACTCAGGAAAGAAATTTTGAAAGCCTGAATCTAAGTTTCTTTTTGACTAACAAATATCTCAGTAATTGAATAATGTTTCATTGAAGATCCTATTCACTCATTGATAAAATTGTTTCATGCTCCTGATTAAAATTAGCATTCCTTTAATGCAAAGGCACGCCTAAAACTGTGTGTACATCTGGGCAAACTGGGAAACACAGAAATAATTTTAGGAATAGCCACACATTTAGTTAACAGATGTGGTCTGTAAAAGGCCTCAATTTATTACTATAATTTTTTTGGTCTGTTGTTACAGTTCTAATTCTTACCATGCATTTGCGATCATCCACCCCAGCTAAATCCTCCTCAAACTCCTTTCCTACATCAAATTCCATGATGTAGTTTCTAAAAGTGCTTAGCGTTTTAATGATCATATGATCCCCGTTCTGAAGGATTTCTTTGTCAGGTTTTAGCAAGTTTGCTATTTTTCTTACAGCAACATTTACATCTGAAAAAGAAAAAGAATTCTTTTAATCCAGAAAAGTCTACCACAAAAAGAAGCTTGTAGCCCTTGGGAGAACTAAAACAAACAAAGATAAATAAATGTCCAGATCTTTCAGGCCAGTTTCCTCATCAGGAAAAAGTCCATAATTTAATTCTTTTAACTTAAATAAGTTACGTTTTGATTTTTCTGATTATATGAAATCCTAAAAAATACCATTTGTATTTGACAGTTAATAAGGCCTTCAATAATGCTATAGAAATACTAACACTTTACATCAAATGCAAAGACACAAAATTGCAATAAGTACATTATTGTCTTTTTATTACACATACAAATTTTACTCTTTCAAATTATGGGTTTTAAGTTTGAAATCTGTCACCTCTTCAAGCTATGTAGTTTAATCTCTGTTAATGTAAGCTTCAAGATGGTAAAAAGTAGAGGCTGCTTAAGACAAAACAATTTTGCATAAGGCAATTCTTAAAGTGCATTCCTGAAAAAAACATTTCTCACAAAAATGATTTATGACTGTGCAAGAAAAAATAGATTCATGTAAAGACTGAGAGGTTGAATTTATTGACTATTTGTTTAAGAAACATGGAGAGAACCTTACCCAATGCTTTCAGATACTCCTCAAAGTTATCATTGCTGACCATTTTCCAGTAACCATTGAAATCTGCAGGCATCCCTACTTAGGTAACTGTCAAAATCAAAGTCTCCGAATAGTGTGTTGATTCTGCACCACAAAGCTCACTGCCTTTCTTGGGGGCGAGTTTGAATTCTGGTTTCTTTTATGTCTTTTTTAGACCACGTAGCTATGCAAGTCCTTCTAATCCGCTTATTGTTGAAGTGTTGCCTCTAAGTCCTTCTGCAAGGCTGAGCCTCTGAGATTTCTAATGACAGCAGGATGACTTGATTTAAACAGAATGAAACATTCACCTTCCATAGAACTTCCGTAAGGCTACTGATTATCTGGAGGTCCATTTTAACCATGTTACACTTAATTTTTCATGCCACTGAGAAAAAAAACCCTTTTAAGTAGCTTTAGTTTAGGATATTAGCCAAAGCTGTGAAAGGGCTTATCATGTGTGTTTTTTGAGGTGAATCCTTCTTCCTTGACTATGTTCAAGCTACTTTATACCACCTTCTTTTCAGAAAATGATCATACAGACTCTTTCAGTGAAAGTAATTTGTGTCTAGCATAGCTTTAACTTGTTCCACAAGCTCCTTAATTCTAGAGAACTACCAGTGAAAGCTGTTCAGCCAACTGAGGGCTCAAGAAGGGCCAGTTACGCAGAAACTTCTATTAAGAAGCACTGGTTAATACTGTCTTTTTATAAACACTACATCACTACTGAATGCAGGCTTTCAGTTCATTTAAGCAACAATGAAACACAAATATAGAGATTTTATATTCTTTGACAGTCTCTTCTGTCAAAAATGAGATAGACTGAATTAGCAGAACAGGCAACCAACATATAAGAGAACAGATTTTTCTGGCTAACATTAGGGCTCAAATACTGAGACAGCCTCAGCTATTTTCATTTATTTTCCACTGTGTATTTTCAAATGGTATAGCTGAAGTTCCTCTTGGATATGTTATCTACACCAGGGCTTTGAGAATTATTTACTCTTCTATAAGACTCTGGATCAGAGAAGCAAAGAAACCCATTTTAAATCTGGTGATGAGAACTGTCTGTAATTTGTCAATCTGGAGGCTTACAAGTGACATGAATGGTGAATGCCTTTTTAAGTGCTCGCATGAAAGAAAGATTTATTTCTATATCTTGTCCAAACTGTCAGAACACAAAAAGTTATTCAGGGTCCTAAAAAGGTCAAAGTTTAGCAGTAATATATTTAAAAATATATATATAAAGAAAAGTTACGGTTCATTTTATTTTACTGTTTCAGAACAGTAAGGCATCTTCATGCTAAAACTGCCTGTAGGATTACAGAATTACAACTCATGAAGGTACTGTTTGACCCTCTAAGTATTACTGGAGATTAATATTTATTTTTAAGATCTTGTTTCTTTTACTTTCACAAGGAAGCTGTTCTCTACGTGTATTCAGCTACGCAGCTGAACACACTGATTTGCTTAAGTGCTACCACACACAAAAACATGAAGAAAGAATTGAAGAAATTGAATTCTTCACACAAGAATTCAATTGAATTCACACAAGAATTCAAGAAATTTTGGGCTAATGTACTTTCCTCTCATCAACAAGAAACAAGTTTCTCAAGAACTTTGCATGAAAGAACACCAGGTCTGTCCACTTCACACACTACAAATGTCAGTCGTTTAGTGGGTTTCCTGTTGTGTTATGCAACTTAAGAGGCTGAAGCAAGTCACCTTCGTTCTTCCGCTCACTCTCTTCGGTGTAGATATTGTGGTGTGCAATGTAGGATATCACCGAATCTGGTACGAGATATTTTACACTTAATCCTCTGCACAAGGCGTAGCGTATCTGTGTTGCACTGATTTCATTCTGAATCCATTCTTTCACCAGAAAGATATTGTGCTGAAATTTAGTCAGAAGGTCTGATTCATTGATATACTGAGCAGGATCAGAGCCAGCACGGCTAATACAGACCAAACCGAACTTTTCCAGTATTTCTTCAATGTGTTCTTCTTTCCAGAGATTGGGTGTCTTAAATGTCTGCAGAAAATCAGCACCACAGAGCAGCTTTAATTCTGGTAGAACTGCAAAGACAAAAGAAAATGAGAGATTTCTACACTTGCTAGGTTTTCTAAGAAGTTTACACTTAAAATTGGTTTTAACTTTTAACTTTTTAATTTTTTTTTTAATAATTTAACTTTACTCCTTTTCTTTCAAAAGGTTGTAAAAACAATTCAGCTTGGATTTTATGTGTCAGGTCACAATTACTTCATCACTTACTTCATCATCACAGCATATATAATATTTTCTCTCCCATGTTAAAGGAGAATTATTCCTCCACTCAAGCAAGTCAAAAAGGAGAAGCAAATAATGAATTATTATTTTAGCACTAAGACCAGACTTCGTCAAACCTGGCTACTACACCCCGGCCTGCCCCACTCGCTTTGCTCAGGTACTCAGGACCAACCCCTTCTCGCCAGGCCCTTGCCTGCCTCAGTGTCACCGCACAGAGCTCCCCGTCCCTTCGGGAGCAGCTGCCCTGCTGCACACCAGCACCCAGACATGCTGTTTGCGTACTGTCACATTAGCCAGAGAACAACCCAGAATTTCACCTGAGTTAGTGCACCTCTGTCATCTAAAACATGACAGACTGTATCTAATCTAACTACCCTTACTGGTACAGTAAGCTAGTTAGTTGACCTACTACGCTTTATCTTATTTGTAGAGAAATTTGAACCAGCAGAATATCATATGGATAATATTTTGTCTTGTGTGGCCATGACATTTTCTTTCTAGTACAAAGAGATCTAAAGCCAAATTTGTTGCACCTTGAATAATGACCAAGAATGATACTTGACTAGTACATTTTTTTGTTGTTTTCTCTCCATTTCTTATTTGCTGCCCACCGCCTAAGCCCCAGTACAGAACTATCCCTTTCCTCAAAGCCTATTGTACAGCACTCATCATTATACCATCTGAGTATTTTACAGGCATTGACTAGGTATTTTCACAGTGTTGCATTCATGTGATATGAAGGGCAAGGATGGAGGCATTGTCTCCATTTTACATTTAATTGTGGTTGTAGATGGTTAACACATCTGCGAGTCTTATACGAACACGTTAAATCAGCAATCTGAAAAATATGAAATGTATCAGTGATGATACGTGAAAGGCATACCTAAAGTGCCTTAAGATATACTCAGTTTTTCAGAGGTTTAGTATATACCATTGAGCTAACTACAGTAAGCATTTCTTGTAACAACTTCTGTAACAGACCCCTCCCCCACAAACCACCCAGTAAATTTTACTAGCCACACCTGCAAGGTTGAAACCTTTAGATTCAATGCTCTCATCTCTGACACTTGAGCTAGTGCAGAAGTACCTGCAAAAGTTGTCTGTGATCCCTGTGTGGACCAGGGCTACAAGAGTATGCAACTCTGAAAGAATGTCCCAGATACTTCTGACAGCAGATGAACAATGAGATGCCAAGAACCTTAGGATTCACACAACCCTGGTAGCTCCATCATGATAAAGCTGATCTTTTCTGTTACATCCTTTCCAAGCTGTCCTCTGCCCATCTATTTCCTCATGCCAGTTCCAGTCTTCTTGTCTTCCACTCACAGATTCTACTCTTCTAGTTCCCTGTCCTCAGTTCATGTCTAGACTGTTTCCAGTCCCCTGTTTTCCAGGGTCTTACCTGTTTTTATGTCACAGATTGCTTTTTACTTAATAGCAACTCCACAATAAAACAGTACTCTGTCTCAAGCTGTATTAGAGCTAATATTAGACTGGAGCTTTTAGAGTGTTGATGGGTTTTCTCTGAGTGTACATGCATTGCAGTTCTAGGTTACTAGAAGTTAAATTAACAGATTGTAGGCTTTACAAAAAGGCTGTCAACTTTACAAATACATCTCCACATATCCCCACATCTTCTGTGCCAATGGGAAAACATGTCTTTGGCCTTTCAAGGCTAAATGATCATCTGCATGTTCCACTATAGATAATGGTATAAACCCCAAATGACTGCTGCAATACTCCAGATTTTGATAAGTACAATAGGCTTTTTTTCAGACCATGGATGTCCCCACCAGGGAAATTTTTGCTTGTTTTTGCTTGGTGTAGCTCAGTCAATGATGGTGGACAGAAATGAATTGCAATTCTTTGAAGTGTTGTTCAGGATAAAAGGAGAGGGTAAGTTAAAGGAGAAATAACTTAACAAAAAGCAAGTAGCTGAGTAGCTGGATTATAGGTCTAATTAAAGGAGATTACTGTTGGAATATGCCAGAGAAAAGCATTTAAGAAGTGACAATAAAGTTGTTCATATAAGGTAACTGAGAGACGTGAAGTGCAGGGGATTCAATTAAAAATGAAAGACAACCATCTCTTGTAAGTAGGAGAAGAAATATTTTATGTGAAGCTATTTTTGGTGAATCAACAAGGGATGGCAAATCCCTGGACACCAAAAAATAGAGAAAAAGAACTGCGTAGTCTTGTTTTCATCTTCATCCTCAATGACTAGCATCAACAAGCTATCTAAGTTTATTAAAACTGCAATCATTTATCTATACCTGCCCTCTTATTACTTGTAATTTATATTAAAGTGAACCTTCTTATTTGTAATTTTAAGTGACCTGATTATTTAATGTGGAACAACATCATGAGGTTCAGCACCATGCAAAGAAGTCTTACAGTTCATGCGGTAGGCATACATTTAGTAGAAAAATAGTTATTATGGAATTTTGCCACTGCTAAATTCAGCCATCAAGCTGATCTTTGTGAAAGCTTCCATTACTTGACTGAGCCTTTGTACAAACTTCACAGAAAATCCCAATTCAACAGATTTCATTGCTGGGAGGTTTTTTGCGGGGGGCAGGCGGGAGGAATTGGGTAACAGTTGCCTGCCACTAGAATGTTTGTGCTAACGAACATTTATTTACAGGAAAGGGGAGGAACTCTAGTCTGCTCTGGAGTTCTCAGTAGCTCTTGATCACTCCCCATGCTTGTGAGCAAAGGAAGTTGAAAGAAACCATTCCATTCCTTCTTGGTGGGCCACATGTTTAATAAAACCAAATTCGTATCACCGCACAGGCAGTCAAAGCACTGAAGGCAGAAAAAGT